TATAATGACAGTAAAATGCTGATATTTGGATCTTTCTATTCATCAAAGAATCCTGAAAAAATGTACTCAGCTTTTTAAAATATTGATAATAATACTTAAAAATATTTCTTGAGCAGCAAATCAGCATATTAGAATGATTTCTGAAGGATCATGTGACACTGAAGACCGGAGTAATGATGCTGAAAATTCAGCTTTGATCACAAATGAAATTTTAATGCAGCCTTGGTGAACAGAAGAGAATTCATTACAAATCTTACTGTCCAAAAACTTTTGACTGGTAGTGTACACTGTAAAATGTCTTGCTGCTAAAATTTGTTATAACAACTTAACATTTGTTTAGATAACTTAAATATCCAACTTAACTAAACTTGTAATTTCACGTCAAGCACAAACACTTACTTTTTTAAGTTGAAAACACATTACTTGCTCCAATGCTAAAAAAGTTGAATTTGTTAGAAGTAATCGCAACAATCATTTTGTACAGCGTAAGTAAATGTATGTAACACCAAATACACATTCACTAATGAGCATCAATATAAAATGAGTTAATATTATCCAATAGCCCGTGTGTCCTCTGTGATATCGGTGAAAGTGAACGTCATTTCAAAGGCGTTTTAATGAACGATTACAAAAACAAGCAATTTTGTCATTAGAATAACGTGTGCTAATTAATTGTGCACATACATCCCGCAGCATAATCTACATACGGACGTGTCAGATCACAATTAATAAAGCAACACAAGCATGTGTTTCATTCTCAGCTTCGCAATCCTAACAACCACAGCCAGTTCTGACCCTAAATCCACGACAAGCTTCCCTCTCAGATACGCTCCAAATATTTGCTGTCGCCATCTGTTAGAAAAGACGGTGGAGCAGCGAAAAACATAAGTATTCTGCTTAAACACAGGCGGCGTGTCTTTGACCCCAGAGAGGGACGACCTTCGCCTGCTGTCTCTGTCTCTCTGGAGGAAGCCGGAGGAAAAGTGTCCTTGCTGCTGACATGTGAGGTCTGTGCCGTTTATCACGCCACATCTCTGAGACAGACACACTTTTGATCCCGTCTATCCAGCCCTAACGCCCAGCCCGCTGTTTCTGTGTCACAACGGTTGTTTCCTGTCCCCAGAATCATGGGAGTTCAGTACTTACATGTACCAGGTGTGCTTCTGGATCAGCTCTAACTGTAAGAGAAACACACAGAGAGAGACGGTTAGAGCCACTGCAGAAAAACAGCAGCCATCAATGAAGCACTCAGAGAACAGGTCTCAATCAATCACTCGAAACGATACTCGCAAATCTAATTTCAAGTCAATCTGAAAATAATATTAAGATAAAAACAAAATTGGAAAATGTGTGTGTGTGTGTGTGTGTGTGTGTGTGTGTTTGTGTTATTAATTGTAAATTGTTTTTCAATACTATTTTTTTAAACATTTTACATTGTCATTTTAACACATTAATTTGGTGCAGTTAATAATGAAGAGAAAAAAAATGCAACATTGCCCCTGGCCTTTATGTAAAATTCGTAATAAGGGATATTCCATATGTGTTTTTATATGAATATTATAATTTTAATATGATTAAATAATTAGGGCTGACGATTTAAAATGGTAATTTAGTGTTACTAATTATAAGAAAAAAATGCATACTCATGACCCCTGTTTTTTAATATCAATTCAATATCAGATATTATAGTTCTTACTTATATTTTTGATTGCAGTTCTTATTAATTTTAGATAGTTTTGTTTTCATTTTCATTTTAGTTAGTTTTTGTCATTTTATTCTGTGATTTTTGCCATTTTTTGGAAAATTTTCTTTATTTTTAATGTTTAGTTCATTAATTAATTTTTAAATAGTATTTATTTATTTGTTTTATTTCAGTTTTAGTTTCAGTCATTTTATTATGCATCAAGTTAAACTACATGTAAGTGAGGAACGTTGCCTGAAATAAAGTAAAATAAATAATAAAAATAAAATACGTTGAAATAAAATACGTTTTGGTATATATAATTTTATTTTAGTTAATGTTTCATTTCTTTCAAGTAATGGATATTCAAAATCTATTTTCATTTGAATTATATTTTTGAATTGGTATTCATTTCAAACATTATCGTTGTGCAGTTAACTATGAGTAAAAAAGTGATTAAAAATGTACGATTCCCCCAGCCTGTACAGTACATATATTTCATAATAAGGAATATATTCGATTTTTTTGTGGTTTGTTTTTGTTTTTAATATTATCACATTAGGACTGTCAATTTAAACATTAATTTAGTGTGATCTATGACTGGCTGGATCTGGAGTTTGTGAGTTTCACTAAATTAAATCTCTGAAAGACTTTCACATTTACACAGCACATAAAAACAAAACACACGATGTTGTTCGCTTTACATATCAGCCAGACAGTCTCTTCCTCTCTAACAGCTCTTGACTAAAATAAGTTGCAAAGACCAGCATCCTTTAAAGACTTCAGTGCAGTAGCCCGCTGTGAACTCTAGTGTTGTAGGCTTGGTAAAAGAGCCGCCGAGAGCAACCCTTCTGAAAAATGACAAATGGGACGGGCTACGGTCTTGTGACCTTCATGGAAACGTGTAAGTGAAGGCCATGAGACCGCAAGTCCACATCCAGCACCCAAAGTCTGGCTCCAGAAGATGAATACCAGAGCGAGTCCAGCTGAGAGGTAATGGAGACGTTTCGTCTGAGAGCAGATACATCAGCGTCTGATGACTAATGACCGGCTGTGTAGAGATGAGGGAGCAGAGATCCAATTATTATTTGCATATCTGTGCTGGAGTGGTACATAACTGCTGTCTACTGTTTTCCTCAATCATCTGTTTCTATGATATGTATTTCACATATGCTAACGCCTCACACACAGGCAAACACATACGTTCGTTCGCATGTGGCAAAACCCTCGAAAAAAAAAAAAAAAAATTCCAATCAACAGGT